AGTTACCATACCTATTACAATGACTTTTTGCAGTAAGCTGGTAAAGGAAAAAAAAAAAGAAAAAACTAACAAATAAAAAAATAAAGATTTTTATATTTATAAAAAATAAAAATCTATACACATCCTGGAATTCTTGTTCAAAATAATGAGCTATTCCCATACAGGAATTCACAGGTATGAAACAAGCCATACACTGTAATTTGCTATATGCAAACCAATTACTGATATTAATGCCTACCTGGAAAAGAGTTGTTTAACTATTAAGAATAGTTAAGAATATAAAAGTAATGTTTACTGTATTTGAAAGAGTGTTTGTGTGGGGAGTGTTCCCCGTAGGTGTGTGCCAGCTTAGACTGAGACAGTTTAAGTTTCATTTTGTATTGTAAAATGGGTTCTGTTTTCAAAATTGTCAGTCTGAGACTCCTAGGGCAACAAAAGCTACAGATACCACTGCATCAGTATTTGTTTTTAGGGCAAAGCATAAAAGCCCTCCCTGTAATCCACTTTCAAATGCATTTTAAGCACAGTTTATCTAGGAGCTACAGTTGCCTTTAAAGGTACGCGAGATACTTAGAGTAGCACATCCCCTTTGCCAGTACTGGAAATCTAATAAGAAAATCTGAAGATCTTTTCACGCAAAGCTTATTTGAAAGGAACTTAGATGGCTTGCAGTTTCCCTTTGGCTTTCTTATAAAGAAGCTTGGCCTAAATTTTCAAGTGTGACTAGTAATTTTTGGATACTCAGCTTCAGATCAAGATGCAATTTTTGAGAAGCTTAGCACCTTGTGCATGAAAAATTTTCTTTAAGACACTGAAACTAGACAATTTGAGGCACACAAAATCATAGGCTCTTTCTGAAAATTTAGCTCTGCTCCCCAGGCTTTAACTTGTCTATGTTTCCCATTCCCTGTTATTCATCATTCCCTAGGAGATGACTCTCTAAATTCTCTCCCGGCTACCCAAAACAGATACCCTCCACTGATGAGGGCATCATGTAAAGTAGCTCTCTCTCCCTGCATTATTTCCTTCTTTCGTCAAAGTCATACCCTACTATAGTTAGTGCTGGTCAATGTTTGCCTTGAAACTACTCAACAGAAGCCCTACATTTTACACATTGCAAAACTGAGGCAGACACTCCTGCCAAAGACTGCACATGCATCTCTCATAAACCCAGCAGCAGCTGAAGTTGCTCAAAACTTCCAACTAGTTTTGATGCAGACCTACAGCACTGTCATGCCAGAGACAACTGTGGGATTTCACAAGTAAAGACCCAACTACAGATAGGACCCTAACCTCACCACAGAAACAAACACTGCAGTTGAGTTGAGCTTATGCTGACAGACACTGAAGATTATTTATTATTATTTTTTTTACATACAACACCCAAGAATAAGCAGTCTGAGACAGTTTTATCCCTGCTTAGCAAGTCATGGTTCATGCCTGTGATTTTTAGCCTAAAGTATCACATTCTCCATAAGGCGTGTCACCAACTCTGTCCCCATCATGAAACCCTCTGTGGTAAAAGCTTCAAGGTACAGGTAAGTGTAAAATCAGTTTAGCCTGTTAACCAGCTAAAGTTGCCTTTTATACCTTAGCATTTTAGAGCACATCTACTGAGCTTTAAAAATGCACCTTTTTCCTAGCATACGCAAGCTCACAGGGGTCCAACATACCATCAGGAGACAGGCTAGATCCCATTCCCACACCCATCTGAACAGAATGCTCTCAGAAGCCAGTAATGTGGTGATTCATCCAATAAGCTAGAAATCTTCATCCTACAAAATACCAAAGCATAGACAAATTACCCAGAAAATGCTGCACACAGGCTTTTTTCTTGAAAACTGTCAAATTTTGTGAGATGCCATAACCCTAGATTAACACAGACGTAAGTACCAAATTGCTGTTCTGTTGTTTTTTAACTGATAAGGAGAAAAAATTAAAAGGAATCCTAAACATTTCAGTGGTCCTGGAATTAATGCAGTATTGCAACATACAGTGAGTCAGCTGCCAAAAAATTAATATGAAACATAATATTTAATATATAGTGACTATTTTTCCTTAAAAAGATGCAAACACATCTCTTTTTTTGGCAGTGAAGACAAAGCCTATTGTCATAAAAGTCATTCCCTTCCAAAACCAATACTTCAGGTACAAGTGTTCAAGTTCAACTTGGAATTGTTCAAGGTCAGGCTGGATGGGGCTTTCAGCAGCCTGGTCTAGTGGAAGTTGTCCCTGCCCATGGCAGAGGGGTTGGAACTAGATGAGCTTCCAACTCTAACCAGTCTATGATTCTGTGAAGTAGTTGTAACTGCTGAAGAAACGCAGTTGAGTGAACTACCTTCAATCATACCTTCAGTTCTTTCCCCTTCAAGGAAATGCTTGGGTAAATGTATTTCTTCTTGAGAGAGAGCAGTCACAGCAACCTGGAAGCCACATGGGTTCTACATTTAGGAGCAGACAGGGATGTAGCCAATACACTGCAAAGAAATTCTGGCTGAAGTAGGAAATGGGATGGAGAGCAAAGCTAGACTGTTTTGGTCCCCAAAGTAAAAGAATGCACAGATGGGTCTATTTAGATCTGCAGTAACTGCTGTCATGCAATGTTGTTGTTTTCCTTAGCTTATTCTCCTTCCTATTAAGGACCATTTTAATTCAGATTGTGTGCTGATTTACAAACTATCACAGTTAATTATGAGTTATTGAGAACTAGTAAATTTACAGCAGTACTTTTAAGTTTTGGCAGAAACCAGGAAACTTCTTCTCTGGCCACACAGACAATGAGCAGAAGATATTTGCTCTGAGACAAGGAAAGACTAAAAAAAAGAATCCTGGCTGCAAGTAGTATGACTGTAGCATACTATACAGTAGGACTATTAACTGCACCGAATACAGTCAGTGATCCTGAAAAGTGAACATACCTTAGACAAGTGGTAGGAAATCAGGGACTGAAGCTCACCAACATGTTGCAGGAAAGTTAAAAGCACAGTCAATTGGTAAGCATTATCAAAAGAAAAAAACTTAAATGTTTACAGTGTTAAAGAAAGAAAAAGGGAAATCCTAAAACAAGGGTAGAAGAATTTACTGTCCAGCTCACGCACACATTATGCTTTTCACAAAACACTTAATTTTCTCCTTCATTTTTACCCTTTACCAACAGTCAAAACTTTGCCTACAAGGCGAAGCTAAATCACTGCTGACAATTGGTGCAGCCAAATGCAATTTCCTTTGTCTACACTTGTAAGGAGAGACATACCCTGCTCTAGTTCAGCTGTACCCTTGGTTGTCAACAACTGTCAACAGCAGTTCAATTTAGTGCACCAAGGAGAGCCCAACCAATCTGGAAAGAATGATCCCACCCAGCTCCTCCAGAACACACACGCAGAACAGCCAATGCAAGAAAAACACTGAAAAATTGTTAAGAACATGAACAGTAAAAACCCACCAGATCTGGCAGAGGGATTGGAACCATCTGAAATTACTTAAGTACTGTGACCAAAAAAAAAAAACCCACGTCCCAGCTGACTTCTCAGTTGCCTGTGTTACAGAGTTGCCCATTTCTCCTTCACTTTGTCAGAAAGGAGTCTGTTATAAAGACTACCATGACAATACCAGTATCCTCATTTTATTTATTTTACATGAAAAAAGCCCCAAAAACATAAGTGTTACGACCTAGAAGAAGATACCACTATAGCCACTTGACCTACACAAGGCAAATCCATCCAATGCAGACTGCACTGGTGGCGTCTACTGTGACTTTAAATCATGTCAATATCCCCTCTCACACTTTAACAGCCAAAAGAATTACAACCTTCTTGGATTAATGCAGTACCTGTCATTAGGCTGGCAATTAAATCCCATTTCCGAGATTGTGTGATCTGAGTCACCAACATCTGCAAATATCTTTATATCTTGTGTAATAGCTGGCCTCAGATCTTGATACACCAAAGTAAAAAGGCCTTTTTAATGGCTCCCATGTTAGTTTGGACTTAAAACTCCATGATGACAGCAGCTTCTCAAAACAGCCCATGAATCAAATTTATTATCCAGTTTGTCATGTGGGATTTTCTTAAGTCTAAGCCAATGGAGCAACAATGAATCAAGGTCATCACTTATACTGCATGAATAAAAATTAACCACCTGCTCGACAATTTTTCTTTTGATACCGAAAGGTATTTGTACTTTTGTACAACTGGGAGCATGTGAGAAAACATTCTTGAACAGCATCTCCTCTCATACCAGTCTGTCTTGACTTAAATAAAAAAACAACACCGCCAACAACAAAAGCAACTAAAAAACACCAAAAAACACCAAACCCCCCACAAAACTGCCAGCCATCTTACTGCTTCCAACATCAGTAGTTACACATGAGAAAGACAATCCAATTGCAGGATGCTCACTCCAGGAATTCATTTCCTTCCCAACAGTATTATTGAATATTTAAGCAGATCAGTGATTTTCAGATGATAGTTCAGTGCTAAAAACAGCAGCACAGGAAGATCTTTTTTCCATACAGATCAGAGAAGATACACCATATTATGGGCTTTGAAAACGAGTCTAGCTCTACATATACATTAAAGAACCGTATTGGAATTTAAAATAACCACTTCTTTTCTTAAATTAAAGCCTAACCATGAAACATAATAAAATGTATGCTATAAAGACCTAGATAAGAAATGTTACCTTTAGAATTCCAGTCATCTTTTACTTCTCCACCAATTATTTGGAATACTTGCCATACCAGAGGAACTGCTCCTATTTATGGCCAGGAATCATACAGCATAACTAACAAACACACCACCTAATAGTAACCACAATGACAGCCAGGAAACTTTGCCTGATGTACGCACCCACAGAGTTTCTCTACAGGGTTTACTGTGACGTGGACTGCTGCAAGTGACCCAGGGCCAATCTACAGCAAGCACCTGCATTCACAGCACAAGATGGCCAAGCTGATGCCCTGAGCCCTTCCCCACCAGAAGCAGGCACACTGCAGGCAGTACCTCTTTGATCCGCTTCACAAGTGCATTCTGATCAAAGGCGACAGCTTCTGCACACTGGTGAAGATGATCCTGGTACCGGAGACACAGCTGCAGCACCTGCTGGGGGTCCAGCTTTTCCAGTTTGGTGTTGGTCGGAGAGGTCTGCCCACTGAGAAGTCCTACAAGGCAAGGGAAGGACCAGAGTTAATCTGACAGTTCATGTAACCAGCCCAGCTGCAGGCCAAACAAACCCGAAGACAGTTTTTCATTACTCCATATAAAGTTAATTCAGGATCTTAGGCTGCTGAATGGACTTCAGGAATGTAATAGTCCAGTGAAAGCTTAAAGTGAGAAGGGCAGGATTGAAGATTTATGGATGTTTTGGATTTACAACAGTGCAAATACCAGTTTGCCATACAGCTTAGCCCTCCTTGAAAGAACTTAGACACAGAATCTAAATGCAGGTCCATAATGCACATCAGCTTGGTTTTCAGCAATACAGTGTGTAAACCAAGTCCTGTTTCTTCTCCTCCACAAACAATCCTAAACTGTGAAAAATGAACCCGCTCCTCATTTATGTATGTCAGAAGGGGAAGGAGTTGAGATCTGCATTCCCATATAGGCTAGGGACTCAAACTATTTTCACTAGAATCATGCTGTCAAAACCAAAGCCCTAAAAATTCACTGATGCCCCAAAACAAGCCTGAATGAAAAAATAATCCACCTAAGTTAAATTAGTAGAGGTGAAATAGCCGTGTTTTGCCTACACTGCCTTTTTTAAAACTCAAAACACTTTCATCTTCACAGATTTTTCATTACTATCTCAAAGATTAGCAATATGCTTTTTCTTTTTTTTAATTAAGATTTTGGAATTAGACTTAAAACTAGGACACGGGTAATATCCAAAGCAGCAAAACTGCCCAGAGAAGTTTCTCCTGCCCATTGTTTGTTGGGTTCATAGAGCAACTTGAGAACCTTTGCTGAGCTCAAGCATACGTCTGCCATACTGACCGCATTCTCTAAGGCTGCTGGAAAAAAAAATATGCTAAACTCTAAGGCCATCTTTTTTTTGCTATTTCATTTACTTACTTCCTTTCCATTTTCCTTCAGCATTAGCACAACTTTTTTCTTGTTGGGACACCATCTGTGACAAACAGCACATACGCACAATCTGCCTTTCCCAAAACATCCGTCAAGCTATGTAAACTGAATTCAGTGACTGCTCGCATGTGCCCTTTGGGACTCTCAGTTTACAGACAGGAAAAGACATTAAACCAGCAAATGTAAGCAAATATCACACTAAGCAATTAAAAAGTAATAAATGCCAGTTATTTGGGTTGGAAAAGTTCTTCTAAGAACGTACCTCAGTGGGAAATGGAAACTATTTTGGACAGCCCCCATGCCTATTGGAAGCTACAACTGGTGACAGAGTTCTTGCCAAAACGCAAGAACGTGATAGAAACCGAGATGTAAGTCAGATGCATCTTATGAATTTGAGAAAGTTAAACCTCTTTGAAAATATACTCAGATAGACTTCAAAACAAAACCAGGACACAGCAACTTCATCAGATACAATGAAGTTGTTTACTTTTCATCAACACTCAACATCTTATTCTTTCAGGATGCTCTCAATTACCCTTTGCACAAAACCTTCTCTTTCCTCATCTTAAGAAGAAAAAAGGTAATTTTGTTTTAATGACTTGTTGCCCACTACGACAGCACTGCCTGAGTCAAGAGGTCAGGAGAGGAAACAAGACACTTCACTGTTTAGTCTCAAACCCCTGTATATTAGTGAATTGGGTTTTATGTTTTAGAAAGAATCATCCCAAACAAAAATCTTAAGCCCAGCAATTTTAGCTGCAGATCTTTCCAGCCTACTTTCAGCTGAAGTACAAAACTTTGATGGGGGCAAACCCACTGAAGGAAATTAGACTATTTAAAAATGTGTATGTTCCATGCTCTAGTGTTTCCTTTGCTTGTTAGTTCTGAAATTATCTTGTCAGGATAAATGTTCAAATAACGATGTCAACTTTTAACATGCTGGATGTTCACACAGGAATGAAGAGTTCACCGTGCACCTGAGGCGGTTTTGCACTTTCTGCACTGATCAAATACATGATGCTATCAACCAACTAATTGCCTTTTATTACTAATCTCTCACCAGCTTCAAGAGTAGGAAGAAAATTAGACTCCATTTAAGAGGTTTAATTAACATGAAGTGTGTATTTTGGCCAACTTATGCTGCTTATAAGAATTTAGAAGTGAAATAGGCCAAGGACTGTAAAATGAGCTATAAAGGAAAACACTAATCAAATTTATATTATGTACTTACAACCTTGTACAGCTTACATAATGCTAAAAGCAAAATTAATAAACTGTAAGGAACCTCTAATTCACTATCCAGAAAAACATGAATTCAAGTGAAGGGAGACATTAACTGTTCAGCTGGAATTCCTTCCTAAGACAGCAGAAGTAGAAATACAATCCAGTACAAATGTTTGGAGTAGCGATAAAAAACAAACAGCATATGCTGCTTGAAGATAGACTATGGTATTGTTTTGGGTGATGAAGTAGGGAGAAGCCAAAGGAATTAGCTTCTCCAAAGACCTCTGGACTCATGCTGACAATGCCAGAGGAAAAAAACAGCTTAAGAGTTTCAGCTTGCAAGAAAGGAAAGAGCACAGTAAATAACAGCATGGAAAAGGCCATCCAGCTCTCCACCTGGCAGAAATTCCCATTGCCAAAAAGCTGACCCACCATTTTTGCTCACGCTAAGAGAGACAGCCAGCACTGGGAACTGGCAGGTATTACTAAACAACTACTCTCTTTAAAATGACTGTTTCCTTCTTAAAGCCTTGTCCCACTCTTTGAACTCTCAACTGAACAGGACCATGTCTCAGTGACTGGTTTACACATGGTTTGTAAGAGGATATGAGATCATATCTGTTGCAACAAAATATAAATTAGATCACTCTTACAAGTGCCAAAATGAGGAGAGACACAGGTCACTGATCGGTTCAGGCACATTCCCGAAACAGTCAGAACCTGGACCTGGTAACCAGTACATGTTAGAGCAGCTAAGTGCTGAGCTACTACCTCTTCTTCACTAAGGAAATAGTATACCTGGTTTCATCCGTGTGATTGTCATTTCCTGCACCCCAAGAGCATGGTTCTGCTCTTAAAAGCAAGAAAATAGTATATAATTTAATTTATTAAACTGAATTTATTAGTATTTATTAATTTATTAAACTAAATTTATTACTATTTAATTTATTAAACTGAATACTCATTTTTCAAGCTGTTGGTTCACTTCCGAAAAAGGAAGGTGGAATCTGAAGATGATTCCACCAGGAATCATCTTCGAATTGTTTGAAACCTCAAGAAGTGACTGCTTGGCACATGAATGATGCAACATACCCCAGCGTTGTATGGAAAGGCAGCATGGAGAATGTCATGGCTCAGGGTGGGGAAGAAACAATAAGGAAATGAGAGGACTACTGCAGAGCTTTAGTGCATGGACCAAACGCACTTTGACAACTGCCAAGCATGCATAGTCTTGGCTATCAAATTACACCATAAACCAAATAAGACGACAGACCCTATTATGTGCCTGCCACGATGAAGAGAAGTCAACATCTCCCACCTCCTGGGGATACATCTGATCAGTAAACAGCATGCCCATGAAGGTGATAAACAGCAACTGGGACAAAGATTCACATTTCAGCTCCCAAATGGTGCTTTAGAAAAAAAAACAACAAAAAACACAACCCAATACACCAAGTATGTTGTGCATAGAGAAATATCATATATCACTACAAGGCTAGCTCACCCACAGACTTGACAAATCTGTTATTGTTTCCATATTCCTTGGCAAAGCAGAGGCATGTTAAAACCATTTTCCTCCTACTTAGTCATCTCCTTGTTGGTTCCAGGTCAATATACACTTCCAACAAATCACATCCTACTGAGCAGAAGAAAGCTGTTAGTTTAAAAAGCACTTTTATGACTAGAAGTGAAGTTCTTGAAAAAATGCTTTACATGCTATACTGATTCTACACACATACAGAACACAGCAACCCACCACAGTTCTGTTCTGCTGCTTTAATGGACAATCCTAACAACTTGAGCACTTTCCAAATCTGAAAAGTATTCATACTTCTTTTTGACTTCCATATTTCTACTTGTCAATCCTCTTTTTCAACCAGTAAAAGCAGACATTACAAAAAGAAAACCAACAGGCCCACAGTTGTTAATTTATTATTAAAGACAGCAAAGCACATGATACTGTGCTCTTGTTACTAATTTTAAGGCCAGAAAGGGTTGCTGTCATCAGCTAACCAATCTTTCTGTGGAATATAAGGGAGGACTTTAAAAGTAACTCCTTTTTTAATCAGAACAGAAGTCTGTCTTGCCCGGAATACTGCTTTCAACATTTGGTAACAGTGGACATTTAGAAAACACCTTTATAAGTTGTTCTTCCACAGCCTTTCTGCCTCTAAAAGTTATCAACAAAAATTTAAGGCACAAAGTGCTGTGCTCAGTGAAGCTATGGTACTTGAGTTTCACTGAACCTTTGTGAAAGGTATACATTTATCTCCACAATATCCTGTGGTAATAAGCAAGATGCTTATTTATGCACAGCATGAAGAAAACTCTTTTCACTGGCTTTACACTTGGCTACACTGTAGTGCTGTGACACAACAGAAACCTATAGAGTGGTGTGTACTTTCTCCCATCACCTTTTCAAACTCAAGAACCCCACTGATCAGTCTCTTTTCCCACAGAAAAGGAGGGATTTATTAATTCTCTGATTAATTTCTCTGGTTACCTCTGTAACACCTTCAAATCCCTCTAACCTGAAGCCTGACTTTCCTCTTTAAAAGCCAAGTCAATTTTTCTACAATGTATAATGGTTACACCTCTAACAATCCAGTTACTTCTATGATTGCTTCCCCTTTGCTGGACCCACTAATCAGCAATAGTCTTTCTAAGACCGTGCATTAAAGTGTACTGCATGTCACCACCTCTTCTCCTGAGAGCAAGGTTAAATGAAGCAACAGACTACACACCATGATTAGCAATAGGTCATCAACTTTACAAAGGTGTTCCCGGCTCTGGTACCTGTTTATGGAAGTTTGTTGCTGTGTACATTACCATTTTTTTCCCTAAAAGCCTCTTC